ACAATTGAATCTTGGTTACTAGCAAAATAGAGTTAGAAATTTTATGTTGGATGACCAGGATAAACTTAACGTAAACTTATTTAATAAAAAAATTTAGTGAACAAAAATTCTAAATTTAAATGAAATAATAATGTTATTGTATAAAAAGAAAACTATCTTATACTTGAATTAAACTCGTACTTTTTTATAAAAATCTACTTTTTAAATATATAATGACACAAATTTTATTAATAATTACAAAAAATATATCATAACTTATCAAATGATTACTAAAATTACATAAAAAAGTTACCAAAATTTTACAAAAAATTATCAAAATTGTATAAATAGTTACCAAAAGAATATCACAAGTTATCAAAAGGTTACTAAAATTACATAAAAAAGTTACCAAAATTTTATCAGAAATTAGCGAAATTGTATTAATGGTTACTAAAATTATATAGGAGATTACCAAATTTTATCAAAGGTTGTCAAAATCAAAATTATATAAAAATTATCAAAATTTACTTATATTATTTTGGAATCAAAATTAAATTATTAGTATTCATCATTATTATTGTAGTATAAAAATTATTTATTAGAATGAATTTTTAAAGATAAGAATTACACAATTGAATGTTGGTTCCTAGCAAAATAGAGTTAAAATTTTTATATTGGACGACTAGGATAAACTTAACATAAACCTATTTAATAAAAAAATTTAGTGAACAAAAATTCTAAATTTAAATGAAATAATAATGTTATTGTATAAAAAGAAAATTATCTTATACTTGAATTGAACCTGCACTTTCTTATAAAAATCTACTTTTTAAATATATAATGACACAAATTTTATTAATAATTACCAAAAATATATCGTAACTTATCAAATGATTACTAAAATTATATAAAAAAGTTACTAAAATTTTATAAAAAATTACCAAAATTGTATAAATAGTTACCAAAATTATGTTATAAGTTATCAAAATTATATAGAAGGTTATCAAAATTTTATTAAATGTTAAAAAATTCAAAATTATAGAAAAATTATCAAATTTTAATTATATTATATCAAAATAAAAATTAAATTATTAGTATTTATCATTATTACCATACTATAGAAAATTATTTATTGGAATGAATTTTCAAATATAAGAATTACACAATTGGATCTTAGTTACTAGCAAAAATAGAGTTAAAATTTTATCTTGGGAGATTAGGAGAAACTTACCATAAAGATATTTAATTAAAAAATTTAGGGAGCAAAAATTCTAAATTTAAATGAAACAATAATATTATTATATAAAAAGAAAATTATCGTAGAATAGTACTAAACCCGCTCTTTGCTATAAGAATCTATTTTTAAATATATGATGACACAATTTTTATCAATAATTACCAAAAGTATATAATAAGTTATCAAAAGATTGTTAAAAGTACATGAAAAACTTACCAAAATTTTATAAAAAATTACTAAAATTGTGTCAATAGTTACCAAAATTATATCATAAGTTACTAAAATTATATAAAAGGTTACTAAAATTTTATCAAAGGTTATGAAAATAAAAATTATTTAAAAAATACCAAAATTTACTTATATTATATCAAAATCAAAATTAAATTATTAGTTTTTATCATTATTATCATAGTATAAAAAATTATTTATCGGAATGAATTTTTAAAAATAAGAATTACACAATTGAATCTCAGTTACAAGCAAAAATAGAGTTATAAATTTATCTTAAGAGACTATGATATACTTACCATAAACCTGTTTATAAAAAAATCTAGTAAACAAAAATTCTAAATTTAAGTAATATAAGAACGTTATTGTATAAAATGAAAATTATCTTATACTAAAATTGGACATGCACTTTCTTATAAGAATCTATTTTTAAATATATAATGACATAAATTTTACTAATAGTTACTAAAAGTTTATTATAAATTATTAAAATATTACTAAAATTATATCAAAAGGTTATACAAATTTTATAAAAAATTACCAAAATTGTATAAATTGTTACCAAAATTGTATCATAAGTTGCCAAAATTAATAAAAGGTTACCAAAATTTTATTAAAGGTTATCAAAATCAATATTATATAAAAATTATCAAATTTACTTATATTATATCAAATTCAAAATTAAATTATGAGTATTTATCATTGTTATCATAGTATAAAAAATTATTTATTGGAATGAATTGTTAAATATACGAGTTGCAAAATTGACTCTTTATAACGAAAATAGAGTTAAAAATTTTATCTTTAGGGATTAGGATAAACTTACTATAAACATGTTTAATAAAAAAAATTAGTGAACAAAAATTCTAAATTTAAATGAAATAATATTGTTATTGTATAAAAAAAATTATCTTATAATAGAATTGTACTCGCGTTTTCCTTTAAGAATCTATTATTAAATATATGATTACATAGATTTTAATAATAATTACTAAAAGTATATCATAAGTTATTAAAAAATTACTAAAATTACATCAAAAGTTTACCTAAATTTTATAAAAAAATTACCAAAATTGTATGAGTGGTTACCAAACCAAAATTATATTTAAGGTTACCAAAACTTTATCAAATGTTATCAGAAGAAAAATTATATAAAAATTATCAAATTTTACTTATATTATATCAAAATCAAAATTAAATTATTAATATTTATCTTTATTATCATAGTATAAAACAATTATATATTGGAATGAATTTTTAAAGATAAGAATTACACAATTGAATCTTAGTTACTAGCAAAAATAGAGTTAAAAATTTTATCTTGGAAAATTAGGATAAACTTACTAGAAATCTATTTAACAAAAAAATTTAGTGAACAAAAAGTTTAAATTTAAATAAAAGAATAATGTTATTGTATAAAAAGAAAATTATCTTATATTAAAATTGAACTCATGCTTTTCTAGAAGAATCTATTATTAAATATATGATGACACAAATTTTGTTAATAATTATAAAAAATTTATCATAAGTTATCAAAAGATTACTAAAATTACATCAAAAGGTTACCAAAATTTTATTAGAAATTACCAAAATCAAAATCAAAATTATATAAAAATTATCAAATTTTACTTATATCAAAATCAAAATTAAATTATTAGTATTAATCATTACTATCATAATATAAAAAATTATTTTTTGGAATGAATTTTTAAAGATAAGAATTACACAATTGAATCTTGGTTACTAGCAAATATAGAGTTAGAAATTTTATTTTGGGAGATTAAGATAAATTTACCATAAATCTATTTAATAAAAAATTTAGTGAACAAAAATTCTAAATTTAAATGAAACAATAATATTATTATATAAAAAAAATCTTATATTAGAACTGAACCATCACTTTTTTATAGGAATCTATTGTTAAATATATGATGATATAAAATTTGTCAATAATTACCAAGTGTATAAAATAAGTTATCAAAAGATTACTAAAATTACATCAAAAGGTTACCAAAATTTTATTAGAAATTATCAAAATTGTATCAATGATTACCAAAATTATATCGTAAGTTACCAAAATTATATAGAAGGTTATCAAAATTTTATCAAAAGTTATCAAAATCAAAATTATATAAAAATTATCAAACTTTCCTTATATTATATCAAAATCAAAATCAAATTATTAATATTTATCGTTATTATCATAGTATAAAAAAATTATTTATTGGAATGAACTTTTAAAGATAAGAATTATACAACTGAATCTTGGTTACTAGCAAAAATAGATTTAGAAATTTTATCTGGTAAACGAGGGTAAACTTACCCATAAATCCATTTAATAAAAAAATTTAGTAAACAAAAATTCTAAATGTAAATGAAACAATAATGTTATTATATAAAATGAAAATTAACTTATACTATAATTGAACCCGTGCTTTCCTATATAAATTTATTATTAAATATATGATGATACAAATTTTGTTAATAATTACCAAAAGTATACTATACATTATCAAAAAATTACTAAAATTACATCAAAAGGTTGCCAAAATTTTATTAGAAATTATCAAAATTGTATCAATGGTTACTAAAATTAAGTTACCTAAATTATATAGAAGGTTACCAAAATTTTATCAATGGTTATCAAAATTAAAATTATATAAAAATTATCAAATTTTACTTATATTATATCAAAATCCAAATCAAATTATTAGTATTTATCATTATTATCATAGTATAAAAAAATTATTTATTGGAATGAATTTTTAGAGATAAGAATTAGACAATTAACACTTAGTTACTAGCAAAATAGAGTTAGAAAATTTATTTTGGGAGACTAGGGTAAACTTACCATAACCTATTTAATGAATAAAAATTCTAAATTTAAATGAAATAATGATGTTATTGTATAAAAAATTATTTTATACTAGAATTGAACTAATGCTTTCTTACAAGAATCTATTATTAAATATATCATGATATAAATTTTATCAATATTTATCAAAAGTATATCATAAGTTTTCAAAAAATTACTAAAATTGCATTAAAAGTTTACTAAAATATTATTAGAAATTACTAAAATTGTATCAATGATTATCAAAATTATATAAAAGGTTGTCAAAATTTTATCAAAGGTTATCAAAATCAAAATTGTTTAAAAATTATCGTATTTTATTTATATTATATCAAAATCAATATTAAATTATCTATATTTATCATTATTACCATAGTATAAAAAAATTATTTATTAGAATAAATTTTTAAATATAAAAATTATACGTGCGTCACACAAGTGACAAAATCTAGTGTTTCTAAATGTTGGACGTGTACCCAGTTTGTTATATTCCAGTGAATGACTACTTTATTAGATCGTATATATAATTTAAAATTGTATAATTATTAATTATTGCAAAAATACTGACAAAAATTTGTTTGATTTTCCATGAGAAGTATAGATGAAGACGGTCCTGACCATCATCTAATTTCACTGTCGGGCCAGGACTTCAAGGTGTTTCATACTTCGATTCAATCAGCTTTTTATTTTTTAATGATTCAATCATAGAATATCATTGACACATTGTTCATCAGCAAATTGGAGTCCACCAATCCCTCCATCATAAATGATGCGCTTATTTTGTTGATGCCATGCTCCTAGCACAGTTCCACCTCCTCCTCTTAGTATTCCTACGCAGAAAAACCCATTTGCAGGGTCGATGAAATGCCCATTTTCCCCATATACGCTGTAATCAGCTCCATTAAAATGGAATGTTATTGCTGCGAAATCATGATAATTTGCTGGAGTTTCATAGCACAACTCAAATCCTCCTGGACCTGTTGTTCTTTTAAGATTTCGTGACCCGTAATAAGCTGCAAAGACTGTCATTACTGCTTCATAAGCATTGACCCCAACAGTGTTGACATCAATTTGAGAGAGTAAAGCTCCAGAGTCTATGTAACAACCACCTAAGCCATCTGGCCTAGTTCTGAAAGTATCAGGATGAAATCCTAAACGATGGTTTGCAACACTTATATCCAACAATTCCAGGAAGAAAAAGTAGTATCTACGCGGTGATGAGTACACGAATAATGTTGTTTGAACCTGTCCTGGAGGCAGCTGCGGAATGTCCTCTCCGAACCTTAGGATGACTGGATGCGGCATTGCATCGCGAAAAGGGACCAAACAATATGAGAATCGTCTGTGAATTAAAGAAGAAGACTGGCTCGCCATTGAATCTGGAGACAAACTTAATCCAAAGATCCCTGAAACATCACGTTGCTGGAACGAAAAGTCACTGTTATCATTCGAGCAACCAAAGATTACATTGTTGAAAGTTTGCGTATGAGCATTACTAATATAGAATTGGAATGATTCCAGGGATGCAACGCCCTTGGTAGTGGCCCCACCACCATACTGAGCATCATAGACACATTCACCGTTTATACAATCATAGAGTCTGCCATCACCATTGCAGAGAGGATGACTACAAGGAAGTCTGACATAAGTAGCGGAGGCTCTAGGATCATAGATTTCAAGGTTTTGTGGGAAACATCTCTTGCAAGGTTGACATTGTGTCCAAATTAAACCACCTCCGGTGTCCATCAACAACTTCACAGGGTGTCGTTAGCTTCCTATTGTAAGAAATACAACATAGAACAAACCATCTCGAAGTATCGGTAGGCGGATATTATCAGGAACAACCGTTGCATTAGAACGCAAAACCAAATCGGAATAATTGGCTCTAGCATATGAAATTTTGATCAACCTTTCTACTCTTTCAGCTCTTGTGAGGTTTTCAATAAGGTATAGAGGAGACCCTGGGGAATCATCTAGGACAGCCCTTATACTCAGGCCTATAGTTGGTTTTGAGGTAGCAAATGTAAAATAGTGTTGGGATAACGTTACTAAGAGGTAAAGGAGCAATTTAGAATTGAGAAAAGTAAGCCTGTGATCCAATGGTGCTAGTTGTCGTCATATAAAGACTATCGAAAGTGAAAATTTTGGCCCAAATTTATAACAGTACACTCTTGAAATTAAATATTCTTCTACTTTTGGTAGGCCTTTGAATAAGAATCTTCTGGTTTGGTTTATTCATTGTCATTCTTCATTTATTTATCTCATGTATTGATACTGCACTAATAGGAGTCAAAAAGGAAGGATGATTCATCATGCATTGATGAACAATGAATTAATTTCCTCCAAATTGGCAAATAAATTTGGCCATGTTTTTAATGGAGCAAGCTATTTCCATATGCCATCAAATTCCAAAGTCACAAAATACAACACAATAATTTGGCAAGTTGTGTTGGAGTTGGACTAATGTTAACATCATTACCATTTCTTTTGCCATTCTTCATGCATTAAAATTTGGAGTTTATATTTGATGCACTACTAGTATATAAATGTTATATAAGGCTAGTAAACTAAATAATGACACCTCATAAAAAAGAAATTTTAAAAATCTAAAAAAAAATACATTTAATCATAAAAATACATTTAAAATTAATTTTTTAATGAGGTATCATTGTGCAGTGTACTAACAATATCTAATATCTATTTACTAACACTGCATCAAATATAAATCTTTGAAATTTTACGTATCTTGAATATGTGCTCCTTTGGCATATAAAGATTTCTTCATGTAGACATCCTAATTGGTCCGAACCTAGGCCCATCGGGCCTGATTCAATAGGGTCCGGGCCTAAACCCATAGGCTCGATTCAATGGGGTCCAAGTGATAGGCCCAACTGTTTGTGTTTTTTTTACTATTGTTAATATTTTTATTATTATTTATATTTTTATTCTTGTTTTTGTTTTGAATTTTTATTATTTATTTTATTAGTAAAAAAAAAAGGAGAAAAGATTGCAAATTCTGCCATCCATAGTCACTGGCAGAATTGCAATTGGTTTCAATCTCTATAGGATAGTTCTTAGAGTTTTTGATAATGTGAAACTTCGATTGAAAAGGAATTCCTAATTGATCAGAAACTCTGTTGAGTGTTCTCTATAAATACAACCCATGAACAAATCAGAGGGGAACACATAAAAAATACAGAAGGTAGAATTCAAAAAAAATTTTAGAAAGTGTCAGAGGCAATTTTAGGATTTTTCTTAGAATTTTTGACATTTTTTTCTGAAAATTTTTTGAAAATTTTCCAGTTTTCGTTGAATTTTTCGGTGCCGGTTGAATTTTTCGGTGACTTTTTTAGCTCCATTTGAATTTTCCAGCGAGGAATTCCAGAATTCGATGATGATTCCGGTGAAAGTTGAATTTTTCGGTGAACTTCCAGCAACACAACCCAGATTTCGATGATACTTTTTAGAATCCGATAAAGATTCAACCGGTGTTCATCCGGGTAGAGAGAGGGAGAGAAAAAAAGAGGGAAGAGAGAGAGGAAAAAGAAGAATTCTGCTGAAAAGACTGAGAATTAGCTTTATATACCCATTGAAAATGACGTCGTTTTGGCCTTACTAATCCTAAAGGATCTGCGTATTTTCAAGCGGGTGACCCAACCCGTAGCGCAACCCGAAATAGCAACCAGCGTCCCTGCCTGGGCTCCAGTCGAGCCGAGCCACAAATCGAGCCATGCCAAAGGTTTTTTTTCATTTTCATTTAGTTTTATTATTTATTTATTGATTATTTTTTCCCTTATTTATTTAATGACTAAATTAAAATAAGTTATTTATTTAATTAAACATCCTTTAATTTTCAATGATCTCGAAAATTTGAAAAAAATATTTTTTGAAGGAAAGTTGAATTCCTTTGAACATAAAAATTAAAAATATATATTTTTAAAGGAAAAATTGAAAGTATCAATTTTCTTTGAAAATAAAATTTTCAAAAAAAGCATTTTTTGAGGAAAAGTTAGAAGTATCAATTTTCCTTAAAAATAAAACTTGAAGAAAAATATTTTTAAAGGAAAAGTTGAAAGTATTAATTTTTCTTGAAATTAAAATTTCAGAAAAAAGCATTTTGAGAAAAAGTTGGAAGTACCAATTTTCCTTAAAAAATAAAAATTATCAAGAAAAATATTTTTTAGGAAAAGTTGAAAGTATCAATTTTCTTTAAAATAAAAACCTCCAAATGCTTTAAGAAAAAGTTAAAAGTATTAATTTTCCTTGTATAAAAGCAATGAGTTTTTCTTTCTTATAGAACGAAAAGAAAAAAATTTATATCAAAAGTCGAATCATTATTCCTCTTTATTTTATTTTATTTTATTTCTTTTTTCCTTTCTTTTCTTGAAATTTTTTTAATGTTAGATAATCCTACAATGGAGCCTTTGTAAGTAGAACAATAGTTTTCTTGCATACTTTTGAGGTAAGGAAACTTTCTTAATTTGCTGCTAAATGTATTGGAGTCAATTAAGAATAATTTTCAATAATTAATTACTTGGTAAAATTTTAAGGCTTAATGGATAACACAAAATTAAGTTGGTACCATCTTTTAATGGGCGTTGTGGGGTGCTATAATCTTTCTCACACGTAACCGTACTTCAAGACCTAGTTTTGATTTCGTAGACATTGAATCTACCTTTTGAAGATACCTAAGTCAAACTTGGGATTTTTCTTTAAGGGATGGATTCAGTCAGGTGGCCAATCGCACCTAAATAAAAAAGATTGGTGGTGACTTTTCAAGTCAATGTCTAGCGATGGGTTCACAGATCTAGACATTATGATAGTTTGACGACTCCACTAGGGACAGCTGAGAGTCAAGCCTAGCACAAAAATTCATGTTATCCAAAAAGCCTAATAAAATTGAATTCTTTGTGATTTCTTTCTTTTCCATTCATTTTATTTATTTATATTGCAAACTATGTCATTCATATGCATATGCATAACATGAGCTTTATACTCGAGTTTTATCCTTTTAAGAGAGAGTAAAGTACCTATGCTTTTGTGAGGTTTTAATGCCTCTGCAGTGGCTAGCGAAATACTCTCACTCAAATTGAATCTTTTTTGTTAGTAGCCTGTGATGAGTGAGGCTTGGATTGCCTTACTAGTTTATGATAGACAATGATGTAAGAAACAATTTGAAAACCTTTAGTGGTCAAAATCGCCTAACCTAGCATATAATGTATACTTAAGAAGCCAACCCTAAGATAAAGCCCTTTTTACCCAATGATAGATATACCCTAAAACTAAGACATAAGAAGGAACAAGTTGTGTTGATTGTTTGACTTTGTGCATTTGCATTATCATGTCATGCATCATTTTTATTGTCATATGTAACATTGTGCATCTATATCATTTTCATATTAGATTTCATCCATGAAAATGTACATTTCATTCGTGCATCAACATATCATACATAAATCATAGGTTGACATTTTTAATCATAATTATGGTGCTAAAGGTTCAATGATAGCTCTGCCAAGCAATCTCACTCACCAATACAATACAAGAGCTCGAGCTAGACAAATGAAACAAGAAAATTCCAATTGTCTTGAGAAGATAGAGAAAGCTTGAGAGAAGCTAGAAGAGGAGTTGAATAGGAATTTTAGAAGCTTTGAACAAGTTAAATAAGGGAAATAGTGTAAAAAGAATACAAGCCAATAAGACCATCCCTTACAAGAGGAGGATGACTCACTGTACCCTTTAGTTTTTGGCCACATCAAGCCTAACCCACACAAGGTCCACCACCACAGTAATTTACTTATCCTGTAGGGTATATATTCCTTGTAATGCCATCAACTTCAAATCTAAGACAGTATCAAAGTTATGTAAATTCAGTCTTTACTGAAAAGGTAATAAAACCAATACCAGTCCCTAATTTAGATGATCCAGAAGAAAAAGAGAAGCTGAGGCCTAAAGAGAATGAGACTTTAAAAGCCTTAAAAGTTGAAACAGAAGATGAACTTGTTAAAGGAAAGGTTATAAGTCATAGAAGGCATTGATTCTTATGGTTTAGTGGATACTACTAGGCTCTATTTGATCCCAGATATGGTAATTTCTCTAAAATTCAAAGTGTTAGAGTTCGATAAGTATGATGGTATAAAGTATCCAAAAACTCACATTACCATATACTATCAAAAATAGCTGTCCATGCTAATAATGAGAAGCTATTGATAAATGTATTCTAAGATAGCCTTACAGGCTCTGTTACTAGATGGTATGTCTAGCTTGGACAGGATCTGTATTCGTTCTTGGAGCAATATGGCACATGCCTTCATTAATCAGTACCGACATATTATAGACTTGGTCTCTGATAATTTTTTTTGTAGAATATGAAAAAAATGACTGAATAATTTAAGAAATATGCTAAGAGATGCAGGGATATAGCCTCTCAAGTGCTGCCTCCGTTAATGGAGAAAGAGACTATGTTATTGTTCATTAGCACTTTAAAATTTCCTTATTATGAAAAGATGATAGGGAATGTTACGAAGAATTTCGTTGATATGGTAATCTCAGGTGAAATCATTGAGAATACCATTAAAAATGGCTAAGTTGAAAGGAGGAGAAACCAAGAAGGCACTAGAGAAGAAAGAGGCAGAAACTCAAGTCATGAGCTTTGATAGATAGTTCAAGGGTTATCAATCTTATCCACCATAAGGTTACTCTTCGTACTATCTTGTTGTGAACAATATCTCACCTTACCAACTATA